GTGCAGAGACTGCCCTGATATAGACAGTTACTCTTTGGGAATGGCTACTCCTTGTGAGCCTAGGTTTGTTGACTTTTAGTAGAATCTGAGAAGACTGACGTTTCCCTAGTGAGCTTTATCTCCATGTCCTTATCTTTTAACTTTAGAGTCTGAGCTTCAGACACAGCCCCCAACAGTTTTATATGCTGGGACGTCCCACCAGCATGAGCACCTGAGGACCTTGATTTTATGGCTGTGTCAGTTGCTTCACTAGCCCCTTCTACCTGTCCCCTCTTTGGGAATCAATCTTGTAATGCCAACCCCTGCCTTCCTTCTTCCATCAAGGGGATTCACCAGAGACAGACAGGCATACCGAAGATCTACAGTGCTGAGGCGAGCAGCGGGAGGGTCAGGAGAGGTCTGCTGTGCCATGTGGGTCACCTCCAGGGCTGGGAACACATACTGAAGTGGCTTTATCTTCTTAGGGCTGTGCTTTTACCTGCCGTACCACCAGGGAGGGTCCAGAAAATGTAGAAGAATTTTAAGAGCAATCTCAGGAAAAGAAAAAAAAATAAGTTTTCAAACTGAATGAATAAAAGGAATTACAAGTTTTTAACTAGAACACTTAATGGTGTACTTAATATTTAATTTCTCCTACTATAATACAAAAGTAGTTGTAAGCTGTCAGCTTTTAATAATAGCTTGTGAACCATTCAAATCAAAAGACCTGATACCCCATTATTTCTTTTTAGCTAGAAAGAAATCTATTCCTGCCAGCATTGTCTTGTGCTGAGCTTTGTCAGAGAAGTAGATTTGCTTTACAAATCTTTGTCACTCTTCGTGATTTTATTTCATAGAAATCTTTGTGCTTTAAATGTTTACTTTATTATAGCACTTTTTTTGAAATAAAAATCTAAAATAATAGTCTTTGATTAAAGTAGAAAAAATATATAGTCTCTCTTAGAAAAGCTCTTCTAAGACACCCTTTAATTATTATTCTTTTTTATTATGAAAAGAGAAATATGCAAATATCAGACTTACTTGATATATCAAAATGTTATGTTGAGAGGAACTGAGACAAGGACAACCTGGGGAACAGGAATGGCTGAGACACTGGATGGAGATTTTAAAAGATGTAGGAACAGAAGGAACAAAACAGCTCCCAGAAACATAGAAGTGTTGCTGATCTAGCCCTCACCTACAATAAGATCAGGTTACAGGGTAATCAGGAAATAGAAAAACAACTGTTACAGGGCAACCCTGATATGAAACACATTGTCTGACTGTGGGTCCTCACCTGTCTGGTTAAAGAGACTGGTAATAATACTCAATTACAGGCACATACACACCAAAAGGTTAACAATAGGATATATACCGAAGAAGGGGGCATTAAAGAGAACACACACGGTCCCCTCATAAGCTGGCACAAAGAGGAACCAGGGAACATGAGATTAGCTGATTCAGAGATAAAGCTGGCATTAATAAACAACTCCAGCAGACCCCTCTGGCAGGAGAGACCCTCATATACACCAAAAATTTAATAAGTAGCCTAATCCTATAAAGACCTGAGTGCCCATCTGGGGGCAAAACTCTTGGCCTGTAGAGTCAATACCTCACAGACATTCAATAAATCTGCTTCAGTCTGATACTTTTGGCTCCCTCTCTTTCCTAACACTAATGAAGAAATGAATATTTCAGGGTGTAAGAGAGGGTGAAAAATCGTTAATGTGTCCTACCAGTTCCTCTGACCTGGAGTCCCAATGGCACAATTGTAACAGGGTGGTCCCCAGTAAAGGGGAGGTTCCAAGTTCCCTACTCCATGGAAGAGGGTGGAGCTGAGCTAAAAACAGAGAAATATGGAGAGGAGACTGAAGAGGAAGGAAGCAGGTGACCTGAGGAAGCCGCATGAAGCAGAGAGACATGTGAAGATACTGTGCTTGCTTCTTGGTCCTGGACTGGTTGAAATGGATGTGGGTGAGGGACCCATGGGAGAAGATTGACTATAGCAGCATTTATCTTTATTTTGATTTTGATTTTTTACTCCCAGACTTGTCTGGCCATTTCTGGTCCTTTTCAATGGGCCCCAGGCAGGAGATGCTTTATGTTTGTGATAGGCTTTCAGGGCTCGCTTTGGGCCAATCACTTTTGGGTAGACTTTTACCAACAAGGGGACAGGTAACTTTGGATGTTTGATTTAGAAATTATGTTCTTTGTATTTTCTGTATTGCACATTAATTGTATTAAATTAATACGATGTATTTCCTTTTCATTAAATGTCTTATGTTTTGTCTTGATGCAGCAGACCTATTCAGACCAGGCAAGTTTGGGGGTTCAGGGATGCCCTTCACTCCCTGAACTCTAATACACTAAGAGTAGGCAAAAATCCAATATTCAACCCAAGAAGCAAGAGACCCAAAATCCAAATGACCAAGATAGGCAGAGACCCCCTAAGCCCATGTATCTGATTTTTATACCCAACCTGGCTGCTTAACTCCCTTCTGTGATGATGGGAAATGTAGTTCCCAGTGTCTTGATGGCTTTGGTCTGGAGTGGGGGTTGGGGTTCATGATACCTGTGTGGTGTTTATTTAGGGCACTCCTTTCTCCCAACACAACCACCAGGAAGTTCATAACACCCAGGTGCATAATGGATAATCTGGCACATTGGACAACAGGAAGCTGTTGTTAAATGTTATAAATGCTAAATGATAATGTTATATAGATGATAGGCTGGAATAAACAAACATCCTTCCTTGAGTCCCTCCTGTGTCAGTTCTTTCTACGTGCTACAATACATTCGCTCTCACATTTGGTGCTTCGACTGTTATTCTTCAACTAGAGTACACACCTGGTCCAGGAGGGTACTTGCTCCTAACAATGCTGATGATGTCAGTTAGAGGAGGTGTACAGTTCAGAGGAGTCCTTGGGTTCAGTCTGGGAAAAGTTTCACCAGCGCTCCCCTGTCAGTGGCACATGTCAAATTTCCAAGGAATGTTTCCCCATGAGACAGACGAGCAAGAGACGTTTAGTTATTTCCAAAAGGTAAGTTTTATTGTAAAAAGGGTGAGAAGAGTAGAGGGCACTTTTCTAGATATGAGGGGGTAGAAAGAGTTGCTTCTCTGAAGGGTCACCTTGTATTTTTATTGTTTATTTATTTGTGCATATAGAACTGGGGTAAAGGTCAGAGGCTCAGGGGCGGTGAGAGGCTTCACCAGAGACAGAGTGGGGAACAGAACAGGCAGATCGACGAAGTACACTGCTGAGGGGAGCAGCATTGCCTGGGAAATTTGACAGGTGCTGCTGAAAGTGGAGTTCTGGTAAATTTTTTTGCCAGAGTGAACCCAAGGACCCCACTATCTGACCCCAACACTTTCTCCACCCAACATCAGACTCACTATGAAACTAAATGAGGATAAGAAATTATAAAAATTATGGAGTAAACAAAAACGGAACTCATGGTAATTGCTAAGAAAAAGTTCGGCTTAAGACGGGACTAAAGTATGAAGGTTTTTGTAAAAAAAGATTCATTTGTATTTGCTTATGCACACAAGAGCTGGGGTGCAGGGGATGAGAAGGCTCACCGGAGACAGAATGGAGAGCAGAACAGATGGAGCTACTGAAATAAACTAAATACACTGTGGAGGGGAGAAGTAGGCGAGACAGGAGAGGTGTGCTGTGCAAAGTGGGTTTTCTCCTTGGCTGGGGATTGAACTCTTGCCACAGGGAGATAGCAAGCTATTACAGTGGCTGGTGATATCTTCATAATGTTGAGACTTTAACCCCTGTACCAGAGGCTCAGGGGCGGTGAGAGGCTTCACCAGAGACAGAGTGGGGAACAGAACCACCAGGGATAACTTGTACCTGTACCACCAGGGATAACTTCTGAGTTTTTGCAGCCATGAATGCAAGTCCTTGGTAAGGAACAAGTAAACTTCCTTGGCCTGGTTATGGTTAACCAATTTTAGGAATTTGAAGTATGGGAGTTACTGATTTAACCTCTTAAACTTTGTTTCCAGACACATGATACAGTTGAATTTGGTATTTAAATACATTTTTCAGGAAATACTGCCAAAATATGTATATGTATGTACATCAAAGGCACTAAAGTGATAGCCACTGTATTTTCCTATTCTAACAAATTTTCATATCATTTCACAGTTAATATGTTATGGAAATTGTTTGCAAATAGAAAGCATTGAATGTAAAATGTTTCCTTTGCTAAGCTAGTTCATCTGCCATGTCATTGAATTGTCTATTTTCTTTTCATATATTCATTGTTTTTCCTCTTAAAAAGACATAATTTGCTTTTAAGTGTCTTGTAGAACTAAGAGCCCAACTCCAGTTTGAAGTATAGTTGAGTATATAGAGACCCCACTTAGTTAAATAATCAATGTTCCATCTGATTACTTGCAATTAAGATTCAACAAGACACAAAAACATTTAAAAATATTAAAAAAATCCATTTTGTGTTTCTCTCTATAACTGCTATGACAGGTAAGATCAACAAAAATGTCTGGTCCAACTTGTGTACCTGGTTTTAGACATAATATAAGTCAAGCTACTTTTTATTTCTTTTATTTGCTATTGAGATTGTTTTATATTATTGCATGAGGGGATATTTGGGCATTAAGACTGGAAGAAAAACAGTGCATGATAGATTGGAATTTATCAAACACAATTTTCTTTCTCTTTTGTGTAGGGCATAGCATTTTGCTATGCCTGCTTGTTTAAAAAATTGTTTTTTGAATTGAGTTATTTTGTATGTTAAAACGATACAATTTTATTGTCATTGTAAGTTAATATTTTAGTTTATTAAGCATTGAAATAGCAAGTGCTTTCACAAAAAAGATAAACGCCCCTTACATGCGAAAATGATTATCAGCAGAAAGTACAATAATTCCAGGTAAGTTTTCTTATCCATACGCAAAAAACGCAAATGCTAATATGAATTTCATATTCTTATCACTGTGCCATAATAGATCATCATGACTTTGTGGTGATGAATGCCCAGGTAGCTTCATCTCAGCAGATTTTTGCAAGCTCTCTTCTGGTACAACCTCGAAAACAACACTTTGAGGCCATTGCAACGGGGACCTGCCTCTTTTCTCGGGAATGTTTATCTAAGATGGGGTGGTTTAATTCTGCAGGGCTATTTTTATTGCTTGGGTCCTCATGATTGACTATCTGAAGTTTTGCAGAGTTGAGAATAGTACTGCGTAATGCAGGTTGTATTGCCTTCCGAGAAAATTGACTTGCAGCCAATAGTGACTTCAGGCTTTCTAGCGAAACAAAACCGGGTTCCTTTGCAGTTTGTAAGCCTGTTTCCTTGTTCTTGGTGGAGGATTTTTCTAAGTTATAGAAAAGGATGGGGAGAGAAGAAACATTTTCATCAGGAACATCAGTGAAATGAAAATCTGTTTAGAGGAAAAGGAAAAGCATTGGCTCAACTCCCTGAAGGTCTGTACAGATTCTGGTAGCTAAACAATCAGCCTCCTCTAGTTGACAGCTGAGCGTACACACCACTGCTGCTTGGCTCTGTTCACACTCTCAAACCCTATCATCTTTCCTCAGTCACCTCTCAGCTTTCTTCAAAGCGCTTTGACTTGCCCTGACTTCTCTGACATCATCTTGCTCATCCAACTGCTAGTCTAACCATGGGTGGATTCTTATTTTCAATGAGTAATCGTCTTTTATTCCTAAACACCTTCTGAGTTGTGACAGAAATATGAAAAATGTATGAGCTTCTTTAAACTCTGAGATCTCCCACAGTGGCAAATTGTTGGATCGGGATAAAGTTTAATGTTAGAATTGCTAACTGTTCAGATCTATGAGGCAGAAATCCCTCATATATCTACTTAGCAACTTCTCTACCACTCTCAGAATACTTACTCCAAATTAATAGTCTTTGATTAAAAAATGGGTTAAATGAACAAAAACCAAAGTGTCACTGATATGAATAAATTAGTTACTGTTGTACGTGTGAACTGACTAATGCATTTTGTATGGTTTTAGTTACCAAGCTGTAGGCCACGTGCTGTACAAGTCTGAGTGATCCCTAGGAAGGAAGCCTGTTCTAAACAGCATGCCAATGGGCAAATGTATAGGTTGTGTCTTGTGTGACATTTTGCTAAGTCCTTCAGTCCAGTGGAGCATTATTGACTGCTTCTGTGTCTCTTCCAGTGTACTATAAGAGATATGAAGAAAAAGAAACATCGTTTTTACATTAAAAAAATTTCAGTCATGTAAACTATCTTCTAGCTTCACCTATACTAACACAATTTTAGTTTTAGAAGCAAAAAAAAAAAAGAAAGAAAGAAAGAAAGAAAAGAAAAGAAAGAAAAGAATAGTGTTTATTTCTATAAAAGGAAAAAGAGTCAAAAGCTTTAAAACAACATGGAGAGGCCTAGTAAAATGGAGTAACTACAAAAGAGTTGAAGTTAAATTATAGTGTAATTCTAGATTTTTTTATTTATAAAAACAAGAGTTGGGGTATAGGCCTGAGGTCTACAGTGATGGGTAGGGGACTTTGGGGGGGGTGGTGAGAGGATCCACCAGAGACAGATTGGGAAGTAGAACAGTCTGAGCACTGAAATACACTGCTGAGGCGAGCAGTGGTTCAGGAGAGGCCTGCCGCACCATGTATCTGATTTCTAACCAATTTGTCTTGTGTAATTGGAAGTTCATATGCACTGTTTAGCAACTCCACATTTCTTCCTCCTCTTAACCTCTGGTAGCCACTGGCTTTCTCTTCCCTCATCAAATCTGAATATTCTAGATACTTAAAAACGCAAGCATTCCATATCTGCCTTTCTGTGACAGGCTTTTTGCCCAGAAAACAGGTAAAACAGTCAAGGTGGGGTTGACAATATATTGCAGAGATTAAATATCTTCAAGAGATTATTCTAACTCTTTCGTGTATGAATACCCAGAGGTAGGCTTGCTGGATTACATATAATGCCATTTAATGCTTTTTTTTTGTTTTTGTTTTTGTTTTTGAGGATCCACCATACTTTTTTCTACATTGCCTATATTTGTTGCTTTCCCAGAAACAAAATATAAGGGCTTCAGTGTTTCTCTTCTCCCTCTCTCTCCTCACCTTTCTCCAGTAATGGAGGAGAGTCTTTAAATCCATGACTTTGCATATTTACCTTTCAGGAACCTCTCAGGAGTCTCCAAGCTCGGCCCATGCTCATTCCGGTATGAATATATTTGGTAACCAGTGCATACATCATATATTGTCTCCTGCTTCTCAAGTCCACATGTCCTACCCAGTTATCATTACTCAGCAGCCAGTCTGCCAACTCCCTGACCTGTGGCCTTAAGCACATTGAGCGCCCTGCTCCTGTGGGTCACTGGGCACACTTCCCTCCTGTTGCTCTGTTTTTCCTTGTTTTTGTTATCTTGGCTGTCAATAGGTGAGAAGTACCAGGTACATTTCAGGTGAGCCTATTGCTATTCCCCTATATTTCTTCCTTAGGTGTGATCTCTGGTGATACCATCACAAGAAAGGAAATTACAAGGGAAAAGCCCAAACTCCAGATAGCAGCAGGATAGGCCGAGTGTGATGAACCAATGAGGCCTCAAGTGAGACTGAGCTCTCCACTTTCCTATTGGTTCAGAACTCTAACGGAATCAATGGGAAGTACCGATTATGAGAAGGGGTGATGTACTCACTTTTGTTAGTTTTGCTTCGGTTACGTTGAGGACGCTCTTTTCTGTTCCGACTTGGGATGGGGTTGCCACAGGCCTCAATGTGGAGGCGGACATAGTCACGGCCACATGCTTTAACTACTTCATCCAAGTCATTTCCATGGACATTGTCAGAAAGCTGGATCAGGAGCAAACAGACTGCTAGCAGGTGATACAACAGCTGAGTCTGCATCTTTGATCTGATGTCTGTTTTCCACACCACACCACACCTTTCAGCCTTTGTTTGCAGGAGACTGCTGATGTGTTGAGGGGTCCTCAGCCTGTGGACCAGCCCTGGATGCAAGGCTGCTCTCCCAGCAGCTTTTATAGTCCTGGATCCACAGCTTTTATAGTCCTCTGGACACCACTTACACCTTTACTCAATGGTCCAAGCTCCACCCTTACCCAATCTCCTCCCTTGTTTTCCTTCTTTCAGTTTCTTCTTTTCCTCCTCCTCTTGCTTTTTGTTTTGTTTTGTTTTTTTTTTAGTTCTTGGTCCATTTATAGTTGCTTTCCTCTCCTTTCATCAGGTGAAAACATTTTGTGTACTTATGAAAGTTATCCAGTAGTTGAAGTCTTTATTTCCAAGGTAGGCATGGCTTTTACACTAAATATTAACAGTAATAGTGCAATTGAAATCACCCTAATTCTCAAGAGTCAGAGTTCTACAGCATTTATATTTGCCGAATAATTGTCTAATATAGATAAGAATTTAAGTTAAGGCAGCGTACTGTATCAATTATTAGAAATGTAATGGTCAAATACGTAACTTGTTGAGAAGAGGAAAATTGATGACTACTGTATCTAAATCCTGGTATAAACATTGAAATTCTCAATGCATGAATTATGGCAAATCTAATAATGTTGAATTCTTAAAAGAACTTTCTAAATTGACTTCCTTTTCATTCGTTTGGTAGATAGACTGTAACTGGTTCTTTGCCTGTGTGGTCTTTTATAGTCCTCAATGCTGCCTAGTGAATTGGGCATTTTTCTGCTTCACAAAGAACAAGATGTGAGTAGTCAGGTAATGTGTCCACTGCACTTTTGGTGGCACATGTGGAGATGTGGCTTACTTCTACTGCTAGGGCTCTGTGCGCATGTGCAGATGTACTTACCTATACTGCTGAGGGTGCAGGCAAATCGGGGCATTTCCCTTATAGGCACACCACAAGCATTTCATATTGTTCAACAACAATGATATAAAAAAGAAACCATTTCATTTATTTACTTATTTTTTCAAAGTAACCATTTTCAAAAGTAAAACCCAGGGTGTGTCATATAAATCCTGCTGGTGGCAGGATTCCTACTCCTGTCTACTGTATTCCAATTCCTCTTTCTTCTTTCTCACTGCAGGTCTAAACAAACCTCCAGTTTTAGTTGCAATTAATCTGCCTGGTGAAGGCTAATACATAAACATTAATGTGTTTAAATGTTCATGATATACAGAGTACCAGTATGAGTGAACCTGTATGTTCACTGCCTCAGTCTCTTTTATAGACCCTTTTTCTCCACTCTCTAAGCTTTAGCTGCTAGAAATGTCCTTGTCTTTGCTGTAGTGAATAGTGTCCATGCAGAACATTTCTACCTGTATGACATAAGCACATCTGTGGAGGTTTGTGACAAAACCTTTACTTTTCTGACCCAACACTAAGTCTTATTCTGTCTCATTTTCCTGTCTGAAATGTTCACTGAACCCCACAAGTGCAGCAGCCACCTTGGGCCCTTAATGTGGGGAAACACAGGAGGCGTTTCCTCGTGGCCCATCTCAGTAGAAATTTGTGAGGAACATGTTGGCAACATTCAGATGCTGACCAGGGTTGTTGGTGACTCTACAGGTTTGTTTAATGACACTGTTGTAGAATTTCTGTTACGTATATTGAATGCTATCCTGATACTGTCAGGGCTTAAAGGTTAATTTGCAGTAGCCAAAACAGCATCAGATGCATTAGCATGAAGAATTTAGTTAATAACATGCTCAAAGGGGAGGCTTTTTGTAACATAATTTTTTAGACCCCACTTTCAGTCAGGTATATGGACTTTAATTCCTAAACCTAGGGGTGGTATAAAGGTCCCAGATCACAAGGAGAGGGGAGGTAGACTTTATATGAAAATAAAGGGATCGTTATGTCTTTAATCTGAAATTATATAAAAGGCAAAAACAAACTATCTAAGGGGGAATAGGCCTTTTCCTCACTTTGTCTTGATAATAACTTTTAGCATACTCAATTAAATTCCTTAGATCATTAACATCTAAACTCCCCTAAAAGGTCTGAAAAAACATCCAGCACTCCTCCACTTAATTTCTTTGATGGTGATGAATCATGGAAATACCACTCATTACCCTCATTCCTCCCATATGGGCCCAGGGAAATATGACCCAGAGCCTCCATCCTACCAGTATGGATCCAGTTTTAGAAGCAGTGATCACTTCTTAGATGAAGGGTGGAACAAAGGCATTAAGGGAAAATCAATATTCTCTTTCACAACTGGGACCTTTTTTGTTCTCCGTTCAAAGTAATCTGCATGCTAGAGTAGGTTATCTTGATGAGACTCACACTGTAATCTTGGCGTTGATTTGAGCACCTTTAATACTTATGCACAAGCACACACACACAGAATCTTTGATTATTAGGGTAAAGTTTTTATATGACAAGTAAATTGAACATATACTTATCAGTTGCTCATGATTTCTTAGTTGTGACAGAGAATCTCTTGATTTCCCCCTAGTGCCTTTGTTCCATCCTTAATTGAAGAAGTGATCACTGCTTCTAAATCTGGATCCTTACTGGTGGGATGGAGGCCCTGGGTCATATCTTCCTGGTTCAATATTTTAGTAGCACTTGAAGTAATTTTTTAAAAAGTCATTATTGAGTCCTATCTTTAGATGCTTTTCCACAGGTTGTAATTGTACCACTTCCAAGCCAGCCATGTGGTAAGAATCAGTGAGTTCAGACTCTCAGACTCTGGGACAATATGTACAGGCCCTAAGGATTTTTTTTTTTTTTTTTGAGAGATTGATCAGGCATAGACTGGGGAGTAGTATTTAGTGTTTGGGACTGCGTCTTTGTTCTGGTCAAGCCATGAGTTTGCTGTTTAAAGTCCTCTTCTGGTTTGGAATATCCAATTCACAGAACTTTATCTCAGGTAGCAGAGAGCCTGTAGCTCCTTCTTGAGATCCCTTGCTCAGTGCTTCCACCTGTACCACCCTCCAGTCTCCTCTGTGTTCAAATGGTTTAGGTCAGTGTGCCTAAGAAAATTAACTTCTTTGTTTTTTTACATGCTATGGGGATCTGTCATTTTATATTTCACCTTTATGTCCTTTCTACTAACTTTGTGTCTTGGAACATATTCTCATTGTCTTCTCTGATCTTCCTATAGGCAGACAAGCCCTCACAACCCCAGCCCCTATGGTAATCAGTTCCACATTAGATCTAGTGTTTTGGGGCTTTTTGGGGGGTATACTTTTTTCTTCATTTCATTGAAAGTTTCATCAATTCATTGGGAGGAGAGAGAAAGGCAAGTTTTGTATTTTTTTTCAAACATCCTGATCAGAAATCAGTGCTGACTAAATCATAGATGTTCTTGGAACCACTCTGGTTACCTTTTCACTTCAGGTGTGCTCTATTTTGCTTTACATGGAAGAATGAAATAAAAAAGGAAGGGAAATTATAATTGTCAGAATGTGCTCTTGTCAGCAAATCTTTGGAAATCTTTTAGTAAAACTATTAGAAATAATAAATAACTTCAATATTTTCTTTCCCTCCAATTTTTACTTCACTAGCAGGGTATGTACTAAGGGAAGGCTTAAAAAATTGATGCCTTTTATGGAAACTGCCTGTGAACGGGCATCTTAGTTTTGTTCATTGTCAATACTTGTTTGTCATGCATAAGTAATATGTCCCTACATAATTCTAATTTTTATTCATTGTCATGAAGGTTAATATATTGGGCCTAAATTAAGACCTGACATATTGTGGTTGACATCTGGTGTAACTGAGAGGGAATAAATAACCTGAATATAAATTCATTTCCCCAACCTGGCACCATGAAAAAGTCCCCTAACCAAACTATACTTGTCATAGAACGGAGGAGGCACTACGTCTGCTTATCCCAGTGAGTGATAGGTGTCAGCTTCAGGTCAGTTCTTACTCAAATAAGCCAATCACCCAGTCTCTCCACTAGTGGGGTTAACCTAATCCTCCTGATTTTATAAGACCTGGCTTGCAAAACTCTTGGACTGTTCATTCAGGTCCCTTTTGGCCTTGCGTGGTATGAAGTTTACTTCCTTGGGCTGTGAGTACATGTGACTGATAAACTGCTGTCAAGTTAATTAAGATATATTTTTGAAAATACAGGCACAATAGACAATGCTCAATTTTTCAAGACATGCTAATAAAAGTACATAATGAGGCCCTCCCTGGTGGCGCAGCGGGTTAAAGCACTGCACTGAGAAACCAAAGCCACTTCCGCATGAGTTCGATCCCCGCCTGCCCCGGAGGAGAAGACCTCTCCTGACCCACCCGCTGCTCCCCTCAGCAGTGTACTTCATCGATCTGCCTGTTCTGCTTCCCGCTCTGTCTCTGGTGAATCCTCTCACCCTCTGCATCCCTGGCCTGTACCCCAGTTCTGTATGAATAAATAAATAAATCTTTAAAAAAAAAAAAAAGTACATAATGAACATCCTGGAATGGCTTCCTAAGCGAGATGATGAATGCGAGTGGACTAGGAAACATGAGACTAAATGTCTAAAATGCTGTATATATAACTAACATTCTTCATTATTAAGTGAGCTCAAGAGAGCAGGAGGCTTCTCAGCCTGCTAAGTAAAACTGTCCACTTTTATATCCCAAATACCAAGAAGACCTAACACATAACAGGGACCCAAATTTAATATGTAAAGATAGTGGATCATTATCACATGTGATAATGTGTTTTAAGAAAATGAATGGAGGAATGATCCCCAAAATAGACGATGTAGCCAGTACACCTGGAATGGATGTTATGGGTTGTGAAAAGATGGTGAAAATATAAATGGCTTCACCTGGTACTAAGAACCAGGCAGATCCATCCTCAGTCAGAATTCATAAATATGTCAGCTTTATGTACCATTTCTGGGGTAGGAATTGGAGACAGGGCCCACACCTTCAGGATCCACTAATAAGTTGTCCACAATTTCAGATCTAAGTTATATGA